GGGGGGGGGGGGGGGCATCACGAACTAGTCCGATAGAGTCTTCACATGTCGATTCCCCTTCCCCACCCCCACAGAGGCCGGGCCTGATGTCCCTCCCTCACACTCATTCTCTGTCTGTCTGCCCCCCACCCGCAGCAATCTGTGTGGACGGCACCTTCCATAAATACGTCTTCACCCCAGATGGAAACTGTAACCGTGAGGCGTTCGATGTTTACCTGGATATCTGCGATGATGACGACTTCTGACAAAACCGCAGCAACAATGCTCCCCACCCCCACCCCCACCCCCAAACTGAACCCCCAATCCCACTCTCCCAATCCCACTCTCCCAATCCCATTCCCAGCCTCACCCCCACTCACCCACTCCCACCCATACCTCCCAAATTCTTACCCCCCCAATTCTTACCCCCCCCCAACCATTTCCTCCCCACAAGCTTTACTCTGTATCTAACCCCGTGCTATCCCTGGGAGTGTTTGATGGGGGTCGGTGTAGAGGCAGCTTTACTCTGTATCTAAGCCCGTGCTGTCCCTGTCCTGGGAGTGTTTGATGGGGGGGGACAGTGTAGAGGGAGCTTTACTCTGTATCTAACCCCGTGCTGGCCCTGTCCCTGGGAGTGTTTGATGGGGGTCGGTGTAGAGGCAGCTTTACTCTGTATCTAACCCCGTGCTGTCCCTGTCCTGGGAGTGTTTGATGGGGGACAGTGTAGAGGGAGCTTTACTCTGTATCTAACCCCGTGCTGGCCCTGTCCTGGGAGTGTTTGATGAGGGACAGGGTAGAGGCAGCTTTACTCTGTATCTAACCCCGTGCTGGCCCTGTCCTGGGAGTGTTTGATGAGGGGGTAGACATGGTGTAGACCCACATCCTCCCAAATCCGCCTCTTCCCTACCCTTAAAAATAATTGAAACAGTTAAATCTTTTATTCATGTGTGTCTGTTGGCTTAAGGTTTAAAATACATGTGTTTTCAACGTTGTTGTGGATAATGGAACAAGACGCCTCTTTCCAGAAACTTCTGCCACCTCAGGACATCTGTCCCGGCCAATGATCAAGCTTCCTGTTTGCGGGAAAATCACAGAATTGTGCTTCTTCCTGACCTTTGGTCAGTTCAGAAACTGAACTGGGACCCAGCCCCCATATCAATACAGCAGCTACGGGAGCAGGCCAGAGGCTGGGAATCCTGCAGCGAGTAACTCCCCTCCCAACTCTTCCCCTCCAACCCCCCCCCCACCCAAAAAGCGACAAAGCACAAGGCAGGAGGGTGATGGAATACCCCCCACTTGCCCTGAATGGGTGAGGCTCCGACAACGCTCAATAAACTCGACACCATCCAGGACAAAGCAGCCCCCTGTCCCTGCTCGATCGACAGACTAACCCCCCACCGTCAACACTCCCTCTCTCCCTCCGTCACCGACACAGCAGCGGCAGTGTGCACCGTCTCTACAAGACACTGCAGCAACTCGCCCAGGGTCCTCCAACAGCTCCTTCCAAACCCACCACCCTCTACCCACTGGAAGGGTGAGGGGCAGCAGATGCAGGGGGTAGCACCACGCCCTGTAAGTTTTACCCTGACATCACGTGCACACACGCACATGCACACGCAGACACACGCACACACACATGCAGACATACACATACACGCACACGCAGACACATATACATACACACACACACATGCAGGCAGACACGCACGCGCACGGGCGCACACACACATGCAGACATACACACACATACACACATGCAGGCAGACACACGCGCGCACGCGCACACACACATGCAGAGACATGCACATGCACGCACACATGCAGACACATACACGCGTACACACACATGCAGGCACATGCACGCACATGCAGACAATGCACGCACATGCAGACAATGCACGCACGCACGCACGCACATGCAGACACGCACACAGACACACGCAGACACGCACACATAAACAGACATGCGAGCACGCACACACCCCCATCCTGAGCTGGGGTCACAATCCTGGAACTCCCTCCCTAATGGGGGCCACTGTGCGGGGTGTCCCTACACCACACAGCGAATGTAGTGGGTCTAGGTGCAGCTCACCATCACCCTCTTGAGGGGCAGTTACAGTCAGGCTGGTCCATTCATGATCCACATGTGTCTTCAAATTAAATGGCATGTGTGTTGGACCCTGGGAAGTGACCATCTACGCGGATTTAACAGACAGCGTTTCTCCGAAGCGTCTTAGTCACAGAGTTGTGCATTTGTACAGACAGAAAACTGACCCGTCTGTCCAATCCGTCCGTGCCGACCCAGATATCCTAAATTCATCCTGTCCCGTTTGCCAGCATTTGGCCCATATCCCTCTAAACCCTTCCTATCCATGTACCCATCCATGTGCCTTTCAAATGTTGTCATTGTACCAGCCTCCTCCACTTCCTCTGGCAGCTCGTTCCATGTACGCACCACCTTCTGCATGGAAAAGTTGCCCCTCAGGTCCCCTCTCTCACCTTAAACCTATGCTCCTCTAGTTTTGGACCCCCCAACCCTGGGCAAAATACCTTGACTATTCACCCTATCCATGCCTCGTGATTTTATAAACCTCTATAAGGTCACCCCCTCAGCCTCTGACTCTCCAGGGAAAATAGCCCCAGCCTATTTGGCCTCTCCCTATAACTCAAACCCTCCAACCCTGGCAACAGCCTTGTAAATCTTTTCTGAACCCTTTCAAGTTTCACAACATCCTTCCTACAGCAGGGAGACCAGAATTGAACAGAGTATTCCAGAAGGGTCCTCACCAATACAGCCGCAACATGACCCTCCCAATTCCTACACTCAATGCACTGACCAATAAAGGCGAGCGTCCCAAACACCTTCTTCACCGCCCTGTCTACCTGCCACTCCACTTTCAAGGTAAACTATGAACCTGCACCCCAAGGTCTCTATGTTCGGCAGCACTCCCCAGGACCCTACCATTAAGTGTATGAGTCTTGCTCCAATACACACACGTTATTTTAGAAACAGAACACGGTGCTAAGAAATTCACAGCAGTATCTGGCTGAATAAAGTGATGCAAATGAAAATGTTTAATTAAACGCGAGCATCACAGCTGATGAACTGGTGCTTCTCACTCGGTCAGGTACACAGCCTTGGTCAGAGTGGATTCTATCACCAGGGTAGTTTTCAATTCCTCCATTTTACATTCCTTCCTTTGTTTAAAAGACTTTCTTATGATTCTGTGATTCACCTGCAGGGTCAGAGAGAATGGGACACTTAGCAAACACATTCCGCCAGAGACAAACATACAGGATACATTCTGTTAACACCCTTGTGCTGCAGAACTTGCCATATTTTCTGAAGGGGGTCCTGACCAGAAACATCAACTTTCCTGCTCCTCTAATGCCAGCTGTGTTATTCCAGCTCCATGCTGTTACCTCTGACTCCAGCATCTGCAGTTCTTACTATCTCTGAGTGAGTTATAACTCCCCAAGCCAATTTCTTCCAGTACAGTTACAACACTGGTATCTACCCGACAATGTGGGAAATTGTCTGGGTACGCCCTGTACACAAAAAGCAGGACAAATCCAACCCAGCCAATTACCGCCCCTACAGTCAACTCTCGATCATCAGTAAAGTGATGGAAGGTGTCACTAACAGTGCTATTGAGCAGCACCTGCTCAGAGATGCCTGGTTTGGGTTCCGTCAGGGCCACTCAGATCCTGACATCATTACAGCCTTGGTTCAGACATGGACAAAACAGCTGAATTCCAGAGGGGAGGTGAGAGTGACAGCCCTTGACATCAAGGCTGCACTCGACCGAGTGTGGTATCAAGGACCCTGAGCAAAACCAGAATCAATGGGTACCAGGGGGCAAACACTCTGCTGGTTGGAGTCGTACCCGGCACAGCTTCAGGGCACCTCTGCAGGAGTTCGTCAGGGTAGTGCCC